ATTAAGACTTTCCACTTGTTTAAATCACCATTAAAATTCTATACACAGGGTGTTACAGGCCGGAGATGCCTCGCCCCGCCCCCTGCTCTCCGAGACGAGGACCTCATGTGTCGAAATATCTGAGGAAGACGCAATTAAGCAGACGTAACGACGCAGACCGCCCGGAGCAAGTCTCGGGAAGTGGCGGCGGGTCGGCGCGCGGACGGAGGGACCGGGAGAAAGGGGACACGAAGCCAATGTTGCGAAGGTTTATTAAGCGCCACAACAACGTAATGAGCTTTCATAACGCTCGAGAGAGGCAAGGGATGAGCGCTAAAGTCACACTTTGACGACCGCTGCGGTTGGGATTCGTGATTATGAAGTGTTGCTTTTTCCACGCATTTGTACAGTGGCACACAATCACAATGGCATACGCATGGTGTGTGTATGTGAGATCCCTCTCTCCTCCTCCCTCTGTGTATACACACACGCACATATAATGAACACACCTAGACACACACATATATATATACATATATATACATATATACATATATATATATATATATATATATTATATATATATATATATATATATATATAGATAGATAGATAGATAGATAGATAGATAGATAGATAGATAGATAGACAGATAGATAGATAGATAGATAGACAGACATATAGATAGATAGATAGGTAGATAGATAGATAGAAAGATAGATAGATAGATATAGATATACATATACATATATGTATGTATATCTCTATCTATCTATCTATATATGTATGTATGTATGCATACACGTATGTATAAATAAGTACATAAACGCACACATATACAGTCTGTGCGTATGAAAGAAGGAAAAAGAGATAAAGAGACCGAGGGTGTGAGACAAGATAGTGAGAACAGACAGGGAGAACAGCGACGGAATAGAGATTCACACGCACGAACACTCGGAGGAGAGAGGTTAAAACTGCATGACCTGTTTTAAACCCGATGATCTAATGTGCGGCGAATACTCCATCCGGCGAACACAGCCTAAGAAGGTCATACAAACAGGTGGTCGAACACGCCTTTTGCAAGGTACCTTTGGGCATAGTTTCCTCATCCGCGCTTCCTGGTGCATGCGGCGAGGCCCTCATGCACAGTGCCTGACGTCTGCGCTCGGCCCCATGTTATGCAACGAGGAGGAAACCGGTTCGCCTATTCTTTAAAGCCGTCTTATTAAGCATGTGGGAGGCCTTGATTCATATCTAAATAATTTGGTTTCATCTCAATTTTCCTGTTCCCGCGAATGATTTGTAGAGCGACTCTCCTCCGCAATTATCAAGCGCCAGTGCATGCAAGCCGCGCAACAGGTCTCCCTTCGACGCCGCTCTCGGGCATCGTCGGCCGCGGCGTGGGAAGCAGGGACCCCGCGCCGCCTCGCGCAGATCGGAGGAGGAAGGGGCGACGGCGGCGGCGGCGGCTCGGGAGCGCTAATGTCGGAACACGTTTTTGAATTTTTGGCGCGAGTGACGAATGCGCTCGCCCGTCAAAGGCCACTCGCCCAGCCGATCGCCCTGACCAGTTTGTGTGAAGGAAGGTCATTCGAGGCGGGCGAAAAAAGGAGGGAGAAAAACGGGGATCGACGGCGCCCACAGGCAGGTCATGGCGGCGGGGCGCTCGGCGACGTTTTTCCCCTTGACTGGGCGGCGGCGGGCGGGCGGCGAGGGCGTCGCATCTCGAGTAGAAGAGTATTCTCCGCTCGGCAATTAATTTTGATTGGTTGCGGGAGAAAGGTGCCTGAGCCTGATGAACCGGGTAGATATCTGGTGTGTGTACTGCTTGTGGGCCCGAGTCGAGCGCATGACGAGAATGGAATAAAAATTTACGTCATCGCAAGCAGTGGGCGTGATTGGTCGACCATGCAAAGTACTTTCGAATGTGTATTTATCAAGTATCAAGTATCATAGTTCATCAACATTATGCAACGTATCGTCAGTAACCTTTCCAATTTCAGAGATTCTGAGGCGTAACAAATTATGCTTTGCGAGGCACTTTTTACGACCATGAATTACTCTCACTGGAGGTAATGATAGGCATGAGCCAAAGAGAGGAAAATCTGAATTCAAATAAAAAAAGACAAATCAGACCTAAAAAAATCTTCGCAATCCTTCAAGAACATCAAGAATATTTATTAATAATCATTCGGATATAATAAATAGTAAATGATGATAAAAAGTGAGACGAGGAAAAAAAAGTTGGAGAGAATGTACTTTACCCTCGTAACCTCCTGGCTCCGTGGCGGCAAAGTTACTAACCTGAAAAGAGAAGACGAGATATGAATATTTTTTCTAGGGTATTATTAATTAGGAGGGAATTAAACACTACTTCTTATTGCTTAAATATTATTGTTAGTTCTCGTGCACATATAAAATCGAAGGGTTTTTACTTGCAATATAACTAATGTATGATAATCAATTCATCATTAATATAAAAGTTCCTGGAAAACAATTTCACTTTCACCCAAAGAGAAATAAAAAAATAATTGGATAATATATCCACTTTGAAACATCCGCAGCTTCTGACAATAAAACATACTCGCCTATAAAAAAGATGAATACATCAACAAATAAATGCATAAATTAACAAACAAACGCAACCACAAAAGATGCAAACACAGCCACAAACAGAAACAAAAGTGAAAATGATTGCACGAAAGTCCATTCAAGTTCGGAACGAGGGATCACTCACAGAAAACGAAAACACACGATACGAAAGCTTTTTTTTAATTCGCCCAATACGAATTTAACCAAAGAACAACAACAACAATACGAACAACAACGATATTAATGAGAACAACAACAATACGTACAACAACGATATTAATGCTAATGAAAAAAAATGTTTCCACCCCCCCCAACGCCCAAATTAAGAAGAAACAACATTCTCGTCGAACCAGGAAGAACAAATCCGATACTTTTCTGGGTCAGTTACAAGCCAGTAACATTTCCCAGGTGTGAGGTTACGCCAGCGGCACCTCGGCCTCCCCGCGCCCGCCATATCAATCAACTTGCAAGATGAGCCTGTGTTGCATATGAGGCCAACTCGGCTTATCTGGTGAGAGTCGTTGGTCAGGGGTGGTGGTCAGGGAGGGGGAGGGGGGAGAGGATAGTGGAGACAAGCTCTTTCTCAGATGAGAATTGTTGTGAGAATTGTAAGGGGGAGGGGGGGGGGGAGAGGATAGTGGAGACAAGCTCTTTCTCAGATGAGAATTGTTGTGAGAATTGAAGGGGAGGGGGAGGGGGGAGAGGATAGTGGAGACAAGCTCTTTCTCAGATGAGAATTGTTGTGAGAATTGGAAGGGGGAGGGGGGGGGGGGAGAGGATAGTGGAGACAAGCTTTCTCATCAGACAAAAGATGAGAATGAGAATTGGAAGGGGGGGGGGGAGGGGGGAGAGGATAGAGGAGACAAGCTCTTTCTCAGATGAGAATTGTTGTGAGAATTGTAAGGGGAGGGAGGGGGGGGAGGAGAGGGGGGAGTAGCTCCTTCTCGGCGTTGCTGTGGTGGTCACTCTTGGGATAAGTTATGTGTCAGTCTTTTTTTATTCTTTCTTAATTATTTCTACTACCACTGTGCTAGTCCGTCTGCTCGCTTGTGTTTTTCCCTTTTCTCTATTTCTGTCTCTTCTATTTATCTTTTTCTTCTATTCTATTCTACTGCCCTGCTTAGTTCGTCCCTTCATTATCAACATTGCCTATTTGTATTTTGTCGGATTGAACGGGTCAAGAATAAGAATAAGTTGTTTTGTGCTTTTTCTCTTGTTTCCAGTTTTATTTCTTCTCTTCTCTCTCTCTCTCACGCTTACAACTGTAGATAGGCTTTTATCTAAACGAATATTGAGGTTTCCGCATTTCCGGCATGATGCTGCACGTTCAGAGTGGTAAGATAACTTCTTTCACATGCCAAGGGATCGCTTAATCAAGATCTAGTCACGTGCAACAGGAAAAAGGAATAGCCAGTGTTGGATTGCTATTCGGCCTCTCTATTCCCGCACGAGGCGTAGTACCGGTCTTTTATTCTCTCTCTCCCTCTCACTTCCTTTCTCTGTGTCTGTCTGTCTCTTTTTCCGTCTCCGTCTCTTTTTTTCTCTCTCTCCCCCTCCC